CGTATAAATAAATACAAGTCTAGTCATTGTTGAAAAAAAACAATTGTTAAAAATGTATTTAATTCAATTACATTGATTAAATTGTTTAAAAGAAAAAAGAGCGGAAAGAGTATTTAGAACATTCCTTTAAAAAGACAATAAGGCAAAATACAATAGAAAATTGTATAATTTTAAAATATATCATGCGTACATATATATATATATATATATACGAACAGACGTATATATATATTGAAATAATATGTATATATATTGAAACGTATAACGATCGTTTACTTTGAAAATGTATACTCTCTTTTATCAATAACCCATTAGAGTAATAATAAACGAAATTTCAGACCAGCATTAGACAAGACTTAGAAACAAAATCAACAATGAGCGCCATCAACCCAATTCTGCACAACCTGGCGCAAGTCAAGGACTCCAGATGGTTGACATTGGAAGTATGTCGAGAATTTCAACGGGACAAATGTTCCCGTACGGCCGAAGAATGTAAATTCGCTCATCCACCGCAACATGTAGAGGTCAACAATGGAAGGGTTATTTGCTGTTTTGACAGTATTAAAGTAAGTTGATCAGCATTTTATTGATTTTTTGACCTTGTTGACTACGTTCTATCTTTGGCCCTTTTTACCGCTGGCCATATTATATGTTAAAGTTAAGCATTTGAATGCTGCTCATCTTGCAGTAAGATTCCCCACATTGAATCAATTTGAGACGTGTTAAGTGTGTCTTTAGGCAGATGCGACTTCTGTAGGTATAGGTTTGATCTTTCAGAAATTCTCAGTGCAATTTATATTATTAGTGCTCTCACGAATGACAAGAGAGTGGATTATGCCTTTCTTTTACGCTCTTGTCCATAGATAGTTCGACTTTCCGATAAAATTTTCTTAAAACCACCTCGCTGTTTTTAAGTCAGCCAGCTTTACTTGTTGACAGTGATACATAATAGATGGAAACGATCCGTTATTAATTTCATAATGCTAAGCACATTGAGGTGATGCTTTTCGTGATGCCAATAGAAGGCTGATTTAATCATTTTTTACGGAAATTGATGACTTCCATTTTCTTTGCATTGATATCGAATGACCTAATTAAAGAGCAAAGATGGAGAAAGGAAATTCTTTATCGTTTTTTTCCCCTGAGCACTCTTATTTATTTCAATTCAGTTTACCTTTTAACGGTTGATAGACAAGTTAAAATTTGTTTTATGTTTTTTTACGTATCTTTACTACAATGACTTCAATTCATTAATCGAAATGGAAATTCCCCATATATTAATTGTGGAGTTTATTGACTGTGTTAGTACGGACGTGACGTTGCGTGAGGGTAACTGTTTTTCTTTTTCTGTCGGCTGGGACGCTGACTTTTTTTTCTTTGCTGTTTTTGTCAGCTTTTTCTCATGTTTTGCAAGTATTTTTTTTCTTTACGCAAAGTGTTTATGCTTAAGGCTGTTATCTTAATGTTTTTTTTAGTTTTGTAGTTCATTATTTAGAGTGTTTGCTAAATTGAACATCTAAACTTGTTCATTTCCCTTACAATATCTCTCTATATAGATAGATAGATAAATGAATAATGTATACAGCAACGTATAACCTGTTACTGATAGAGACTTACCACCCAGCAATTCCCACCCTTCCACTATTGAAATCAAATATAAATAAGATATTTTGGTAAGCGGCATCTATCAAATGCCTCCGGCAATATACATAGTTTTTAATCATTGCCGAAGTTTTATGCAATACTTCTCTTTATCCCCTCACTCTTTATCCTATTTAACTTTTCGTTTTATTTTTTCATTTGAGCTCCACTTTGAAGTGTCAAGTTAAATATTTGGTGTTTGTACATTAGTACAGATTTTTCCGTATTGCCTGCTTGACAAGTTAAGTCTTGCTTTCCTGATTTTTATGCTCTAATCAATAGTTTGATTTCTGATATTTCTGCAAGTGATTTTCAATTGTCGTTTCGAATTTTAAGCAGATGAAATTCTATAATTGGAAAAAAAGAAAAATAGCATTAAATTTTTTCTGATCAGTACTTTATCCCCACTCTCTTTATCATTTTCCCATATTAGACGCTAGTTATGCTAAAGAGGATTTTCTGCAAACAAAATATAAAACGTCGCTTCTTGGTGAATGACTACAACTTCCTGTAAACATAATAAAATGAATCACTTTTTTTAGCTTAGTCATTCATTGTCAGTTGAATAAATATTTCATGAAAATTGTTAATCACTGAACTAGTAAGCCACAACTGATGTTAAAATCGTAAATCTATTTTCTTTTGATTTTTCGGTATATCTTTTATGGAAGTATTTCTCTATGACCTTTTAATGATTTCTCTTATTAGTCGTCTATTGGATTTAAAAGTACAATTAACATTTTACTCTTAATAGGTGATTGCTATAATGAAGCTATTGATATTCAAGATGTACTTGTTTTGAAACAAGATCACTTATTCATTAAATAAGAACATTTTTTCCTTTAAAAAAAAATACGAGTCACGCTGTTATATGATGTTATTTTTCTCTTCTTTTGATACTCTTACCGCCTGTATGCACACTGGCTTTTTTATTGATATTTAATAAATAAAAGTCAATTAGATGCAGCCTTATATGAAGTAGGTTACTGTCTATTGAATGCACAAGCTTCCCTCCAGCTTTCCCACAACCCGATATTAGAATAATCTATTTTTCTATTCTTTTAAAAGAGAGTGTGTTGTTTCTTTTCTCATTTACATTATCTCGCTTTCTTTTGTCCTATATACTTATATAGTATATTATAGTTAATATAAATGACTTGACTTTTCGTTCGATCAATTCCAGCATACAAGATTTCCTACAAGTTCTTCTTATGGGATTTTATCCTCTTTTATTTTCAATAATAAAATTTTCTTATATTCGATCGGTTGGCTTTTTTTTTAAAAGCTAATTTCTTTACAATCGACAAGGCATTTTAAGTTCGATTAAAATGTTTTAATACCTTTTTATTTTCATTTTACGATATATTTGCTATTAGATGAAAGAAGATGTCCTCTGGATGTAATTTTTTCTTTCTTCTGTTTATTTGATTCTTATTTTTTTTATCTTGAAGCCAAAGACTTGTTATGAACCGTTTGTTTAGAGACGGATGTAAACTTTAAGTTCTCCCATTTTGTGTATATATATATATGTGTGTGGTGTGTCTGCACGTTAGTTTTTTTCCCTGTAATTCTGTAAAATTGTTCGCTTTTCTATTTCAGCCACTTAGATTTCGTAGAACTTATCAAAAGCGCCTAGTGACCTTCTGTTTATAAATTATTGCAGTCCTTTATAATTTTTATTTATATACGACCTTTGATATTATATAACCCAAATGGAAAGATACTTGCGTTTCTAAATTTGTGATTCCCGCCTGGATACAAGTGCTAAAACATGCACAATTTCAGAGTTTTTATTGCCTGATCTAATTTTGTCGTGCATTTGCTGTTATAAAAGACAAGAATACGTCGATCTCCTGCAGTGTTGTTGCGTAACAGATGTTGGAGTTTTCAACCCTATGCTATTTTAGCATGGTAAACATTGATAAACAAACCTCATGGGTGTTTTGGTCTTTTAGCATTTTATTAGCCTTCTATTTTCATTAGAGATTGTATTATGACTCTTAAAAATATTCTATTCTGAATATGGAATTAGAAATTTTACCCTTCATGAAATCCTGTAATAAACTCCATTCTACTCCAATACATATTCATTGAATTATTCCGATTATATTTTTAAGGAATGCACAGCGCTATAGCACTATATTGTGATGGAAAAATTAAGCAAATAATCATTTTTATCCTATTCCGTTCATCCTAACTATTTTTATGGATTATTGGGAAGAGCAAACATTTTCAACAGCTCTTACAGCTGTTAGTTTCCTCTACATTGTCTCAATTAAACAGCAGCGAGAGACTGCTAGAAAAGGGAATTTATTTACATTTTACAAGGGAATCTGGGCTTGGGAGTTGAGAGGAATATATGGATAAAAAAAAAGTATAAGAGAATTCTATTTAATTTATTTCGGAAGCTGCAACATTTTATTTATAAATTATAAACATTGAGATTATTTATATATGTAGATGTATATCTACATATAAATATAGACGTTGTAAATGCTCTCTTTGCTATGGGTGAACGAGATACGATATCAAGTTACTTGGCCTATTTAATATTAAACGAGTGATGCTTTCACTCGTAAGTCGCCCCCGGAACGGAAGAAACCAACTTATTTGTAAAGTATCTCACGATCGTTGTTTTGCACTGCTGAGACTACTAAAAATCATTGAGCAAAAGGACTGTTTTTATTGTTTTTATTTAAAGTCCGTTGAAGGGACTGGCTGGAAAATATCGACCGGCCGCGAATAATAGATGGAGTAATCAATTCGTTTTAGTAAGATGTTAAGAGTTTTTTTTTATCATTTGATAAAATAAGTGAAGAAAAATGAGCCCATGGGCTAGCATTCTTTTCATTTCGTAACTTCCATGTAACAAAGTAACACTCATTCCCCTGTAACTTGACTCAGTATTGTTTCTTTTCTTTTTTATCATTTGTCCAACGCTGGCTTGTATCACTAAATTAGAGTATTTTCATCATAGTTGAATAGAAAAAGACATTAAGAACTCGTAAACGTCACCAAGAGTACATTAGCTATTCGTCTCTGTATTAAGTATCTGAGACATTAAAGCAAAAAAAAGAGAATTGTTGCATTATGTGAATATTTTAGGAGGCGTGTCCTAAAAACAATGTATATGACTTTACTTATAGGTCGTTTATAAGATTGAAAAAGCTCTTGAAATTAGAAATGTAACATTAATCGAAATGCTTTCTTTTCAGACCAGGATTTAATGTACTTGCATTGTTTTTGTTTTCTTTTATTATATGTTATTCCCCTAAGTACGATTTTGCAAATTTTTGCTCTAAAGCTAGAATTTATTCAAAAAAAAAAAATAGTCTGGTTACAAAAACTGCAATAGTCAATTAGGAACTGCGGCTCCAGTGTTGCGTAACGAACGCCGGCGTCGCGACGACGCCTAAAAACGATCGATGACTAACATTCATGTTCGATTTTTTTTCTTGTTTAGGGCAAATGCCAGCGCAGGGAGCCGCCTTGCAAATACCTTCATCCACCACAGCATTTGAGAGAGCAACTACTGCAAAATGGCAGGAATAACTTAATAATGCGACAAATTCAAATGACGGCCCTAGCGCAGTCTATGCAACCGACTTTGTTGCCTACCGCTGGTGCTCCTACAGCACCAGCACCCCAGCACATTTTGCAAACTTCTTCGCAACCAGTTTTGGTAAGTGGAAATTTTAATGCTTTAAAGAAAATAACAGGGTTTTATTTTGGCTTTATTTTTTTGAGGTGTATAATTTTAGAACAACTGACAATTGGCACCATTATTAGATATTCGCAAAAGCTGTTTTTATTGAAAACACTCAGTTTACTTTTTAAGGCTTTGAAGTTGAACAATTAATCGAAAAAAATATTTTTTGTACATAATAATTGAACGTATTAGACAATATGCTATACGTAATTACTGTTATCTGACGCCAATTGTAATCAGTTAACAGATGAATTATCATTAATAATTATTCATTGATGTTTCAAAACAATTCAAGGTTTTTTTATAGGTTTTTTTTTGCAATGAATAATTAATAAGTTTTATTAGATTAGTTGAAATAAAAATAATTTCACATATCCTAATTGTATATAAAAATACTATATAAATAATTTAAAATTATAGTAGAAAAGCATTAGAAGATTTTATATATTAAAAATATATATATGCTAGAAAAAAAACTGATTGTTTTCTATTAAGAACTGCAAAGTACCTCCCTTCAATTCTTATTTTTTGAAGCATGTCGCTGTTTGTTTTTCGCTATTGTTGTTGTTTACTATCCAGCCGCTGCAATATCCGTTGCTGCCCAGCGTTCAAGCCGGCGCTACTTCACCTGCAGCAGCTTTGGTTCGTAAAGAATTTTTTTTGCCTTTTTTTTAATTTCAGTTTTAATTTTTCTCACACGCTTTTTTATTTAACAATTGCAAAAACTTTGATGTTTTAACTGTCAGTTACAAAGGAAATAATGAAAGCACTCTGTAAGATAAATTGTTCGGTTTTAATAATGTAAAACTTGATATTTAGAGAGGGAAAAACGAGATTTTTATTGTTTTTTCCGCACAATATAAGTAAGGAATTTGTGTAATTAACCATATATTTGTGTTATTAAAGTTTAGGCAATTTATTTTTTTTTTTACTTACTTTCAAGTATGGCAATTTTAACTTACAGATTTTTACGAAATTAAGTTTTGTTTAATATAGTTTACAAAGCTTACAAGTACTGTGAAGCTAAACTGTTTGTTCATTAAATTAGTGCTCATTTTCCAATTAGGACCAGCTAATTGGGTTGACCTAAATTTTGTGCTGACAATTTAGATGTCAATTGTATCTATTTAATGATATATCTTCATTTGTATTGTGTAAATTAGGTTAGTTTATTCTGTATTCGAATAGACTGGTTTTTAACACTTCGTATGGCAATGCTTCTTAAAAGTTTACTCAAGCTTTAAATTAAACTGCTAATTTTTTGCTTAGCTAAAAAAGTGATATTTATTATTAAGTGTATTTCTATTAAAAAAAATAAATCACATTCTATTGGACTACGCAAGCAGGAAAACTATGATTTATTTAAAATGAATGATAAATTTGCAACGAACAAATAAGAAAAAAAAACACATACCTGTAAAATATAAAAAAGACAGAGAATTATTTATCTAAGAGATAAAATTATCTATTGAAACGTAATTTTTTATATTACAATGAATATATTATGGCAGCCAACACAATACTTTTTCTTGTATCAGTAGTTTATACTATTTTATTTTAAACTTAAGTACAAATATTATATTTTTTTCCTCTTCTACTTTTCTATTACAGTTGATAATCAGAGTAAAAAAACACGATTTTAATATTATTGTTTTTGTATTGAGTCTATTCTTAAAAAGGTAACATTAGTAATACATTCTAAGCTTTACTTAAATAAATATTTTCACTATGATAAATGATTAATAGTTAATTGCTTATATATAGACTTTATCAATGCAATTCGTATGGATATATTTCGATCTGACCTTTCAGTCTTTACTTTATATCTTTCTAAAATATACGACTAATAGTGATGAGTAGTTTAGCTTTATAGGATATAAAAGAAGCATAAAATCTTTATATATATACGTGTGTATATAGGATAAGTAAATCTGCCATCATTTTGAAATTTGATAGCTGTAGTGAACCCGTCCCATATTCCCTCTTGTGTTCTGCCATCAAACCTCTTTTCTTTTTTTCCATATTATGTAGATTGTTGTGTCTTGTATTTTCTGACGACAAATAAAACAAAATTTGTCTTATCTTGCAAAACAAAGAGAAAAAAATAGTAACTGATATCTAAATTCTTTTAAGCCAAATGTAGAAATTATAGTAGAATTTAGCAGTTCTCTTTTTCTTAGTTAAATTCATAATGTAATTATTATTATTAATATATTATATAACAAATCCTAGTCTTTGTATTTAAATTACCATTTTAATATTCTATTTAAAAAAATTAATTATATTTTTATACCTTTTAGCAGACTGCCTACCAAAACCCAGCCCTCTACCATCCCGCCTACAATTCGGCTCTTTTTCAAGCGCAAAATCTTGCACCAACTGCAAACATTTTCGCAAACGCCGAACAAACAAGTGCTAACAGTCCAACACCCTCGGTTAGTTCGACTCCTTCCACTTCAGCTACAACTACAAAGACGGTTATTAGAACAGCGTCAAATGTAGCTGAGGTAAGTATTTATAAACCAAAAATTATCTCATTTATATTGTAAATTCTTTTTGCAAAATTTTTAAGTTAAAATTTTGATAAGCTTGTTGTCAAAATCAAAATGGCTGCCTGTTGCTATTCTTTTTTGAGTTGTTCTAGTTGTTGTTTGTCTTTTGGTTTTATTTTTTCCGCTTTATCAATGCATGTCGTATACTTTTTTTTTTCTTCGCATGTCTTGAGTGAGAGCCTCGTGTATACATTTTTAATTATTATTTTTCTTCTGTCAAAATCGAGAATTTGAACAACTCAAGGTTCTCTTAAATCACAAGGAACAAGTTCATCAGCAAAAAGCACCCTTTTTCTTGAAAATTCGAAAGTAACACCATCAGTTTTGTTAAATACTGAAATTAAATAGTTAGCTGTTGGAAAATTATCTTATTAGTTCAATTATTAATTTTTATATAAAACTATATATATAACAACATTTATGTAATATTAAAGAAGAGTAGAAAACAAAATTAGCATCTTATCTTCTCATTTCTTAATATAGTTTTTGTTTTAAAGAAATTAAGTAATATCAAAAAAGTTTTAAAAAATATCATACTTTATATACTTTTTCTCTTTGTTTTCGTTTAAAAGCTTTATTATAAATTAAAAAAGAACTCTTTTTCTATATAAAAGAAAGCTAAGCTGAGCTATATTTTTTTTTATCTTTACTAAATAACTTACTGGAAAAAGCTTTTGAAATAACTCAAAGATGCTAGATTTTTATCGCTCACAGTTAACAACTCTTTAATAATTTTTGTATTATTTTTTCTCCCTTCAATATTTTTCACATCTCTCTTATGTCATTTAAAAAAAAAACGTTTTTCCTTTGAACCAATATATGTATATATTAAATTTTATATATACACATATATGGAATATATTACAAATTAAAACCTATGATGAGAAACAGAAAAATACTAATTGATAATTTCTTCAACACTCTATCTGAATATTTAAAAAAATTAGACTAGAATTCTATTCCATGCACAAGAGAAATTTTTTTTTTTAAGTGTCAGTGGCATGTTTAACTTCTGCAAAAGCTTGAGTTTTCATTAGATGTTTGCATGTCTTTATCAACAAAAATTTTTCTACAATCCCTAAAAAAAACATGGGAAAACAATGTGGAATTGTTTACAGTTGGACGCTGTGGATATGAACGGCAACATGACAAACGCCGACTACGCAACCTCTACAACACCATCCGACTATTACGTGCCTCAGGTTGGTGACGCATGCGTCACATTTTCTTCGTTTGTTTTTGTATATACTGTAAATATCGACCGTATATACAAATTATTATCATATATAGATACTTAAATGTATATATATATAGATTATATATTTTGTATTTATACAGAATATAGATTCATATAACATATATTTAAGTATGCATATATGAATATGTGGATATATATCTCTTTACGTTCTGAGAGTGAGGAAGTGTGAATGTGTTCGTATTTAGGATTTACGTTTAATGTATACATGAATATATATTTCTATACTCATGTACATGGTCATTTTCGAGTGTGCTCCTGTTGACGCAGATATGCGTTGGCATTTTATATAATTCCTTCGTTAAAGCGCCGTTTTTGAAAAGATTTCTAAATTGTTAACTAGACAATCAAAAGGCGAGTTTGTTAGGGCGTGGTTTCATAGCAAGCAGCCTTTTTGAGTTTGACAGCAGCAGTCTTTATGCAATGGGTAACTGGTATGTCGTGTTTGTCTTTCATAGTTGCTGCTTTGGTCGGGCTAAAGTTTGATTACTGATTCGCCTAAAATTTGTTTTTCGGGCCGTGCTTTGTATTCGATGACCAAAATATCCCATTTTGAAAAGGGAATACTTTGATCTAACGAATTGTATGATAATTCCCTCTGTCTCTGAATGAGATCAAATCTCCAGTTTGTACCAAGCTTGAGTTATATATAGTATTAAGCTGGTATTAAATTACAATCGTTTACAATTTAAAGTAAGGCTCAGTTGATTTCCACAAACTTTCAACAAGGTTAAAACCTTAAAAGAGAAAAAAGCCTGATTAGAGTTTACTTTACTCTAATTATTACTTAATTTGTAAGTGTCGAGTTTCATACTAGTGGGAAGTATTTTATTAAGATTTTGACATTAGTTGTAATTAGTAATTCCATTTTGAATATTACAAAGAATGTACAATATATTTCCTCATCAGAAAGAGATATAACATATAAAATAGGCAAAGTTGTTTAGATAATCTAAAAGGAGGAATAAGCTTGCAACAAAAGAGTAGAAAGATATCTATTATTCTAAAATTAAAAAGAAAATTATTAATTACGTACACAAATGTATTGCTGTTTATACAATGTAATTATACTGTAAAATATTTTTCTTTCTTTTCTATAGATGATTGTTTCTTGAATCATTAAAAAAATTTTTCTCCTC